CAATCACAGGAGTGGCTTTGTTATTAACGTGAGCTTGGCTCACTCCTGCAGCCTCTGTCTAGCGCACTCGCGTCGCCTTCCAGTGTTCTTGGACTTCCCAGACTCCAGAACTGTGAGCCCAATACATGTCTTTTCTTCACAAAATACCCAACCTGTGGTATTCTATTATAGAAACAGAAAACAGACTAAGGCATGCTATAACATAGATGTACTTTGATGAGTTTTGATGAACCTTGAAGACATTATGCTAAATAAAATAAGCCAGTCACAAAAAGACTAATACTGTATGATTCTACTTCTTTGAGGTATCTAGAGCAGTCAAATTCATAGAGACAGAAAACAGAATGGTATTTGCCAAGGGCTTGGGGAAGGCAGGAAATGGTGAGTTGTTGTTTAATGGGTACAGAGTTTTAGTTTTGCAAGATGAAAAAGTTCTGGAGATTGTTTGCACAACACTGTGAATTACTTAACACTACTGAACTATACACCGGAAAATGGTTAAGATGGCAAACTTTATGGTATGTGTTTTTTATACAACTAAAAATGAAAAACATATTTTAAAAATAAATTAGCTTTTAAGCTTTTCATAGTAATGCATGGTCATCTGATTAGTATGGACTGTGCAGCAGACAGATTTAGGCAGTTTGCCCAGAGCTGAATCTGTATCAAGCTTCAGGATGTACTCTAGAACATGCTTTCTTGAATATATACCTGGGATTTATTAGGATACACCTGCCAAAGGAAAAAATGGAACTTGACATCTTTTGCTATATAATATTTGCTAATAACACTGGAGAATCATAGGATGTTAAAGCTGGAAGAAGCTTTAGAAATTACATTTTAAAGTTGAAGAAAGCGAAATCTAGATTTCAATCAAATTAAATGATTTACTTAAGATCATACAGGTAGCATTTACAAGAAGAGTGGGAAGGACAAACCATGTCTAGCTCCCTCTACAATCCTCTGGACACGGGCTGTACAATGGACTTACCTTTGAACCACGCTGTCTAGTATGCTGCCAGCAGGGGGCGGCAGGTGTATCAGTCCAGTACGCTAAAGCCCCTGGACTAAAGGCCCCAATACAGTTCCATTATCCCTTCCCCCCACCCCCAAAATATATATATGTACATATATATGACTTTATTTAAGCAATTCCAACAAGCATAAAGTTTAAAGTAGACCCATAAAAAACTTTTTAAACAAAACAAAGACTTGGGTCCAATGGAGGTAACATCTTTACTAATCCTTCACTATTTCTGATTTATACTAATCCTAATTGATGTGACGTCAATTAATATGCTAGTTTTAAACCAAAACGACTACAGAAATCCATCCCTTTTCTAACACTTTGAGCCACATACATCTTCTTAGTACTTGGCCTCCGAGGCTTCAAACCACAACCACCTCAGCCTTTCTTTGCCCGCACAGCATTCTCTTTCTAATGTCCGTATGTTAGCAAGGAAGGTCTGTAGACAGGTCTAACCCTCCAGCCACTTTTCAGAAGCAAAAAGAGGAAGATTCAAGTCACAAAGTAACACCTATATGCCACTGTTCTTCCAAGTAGATGACAAAAATTTCCACTCTTTTTAAAATAATACTGCCAACCAGAAGCTCAAACCACAGCAGCTAACGGGTGAGGCTTGAATTTACAAGCAGCTTCTCCCTCACACCCAGAGACTTCAACAGTTTCATCTGATGGGAGGAGCGAGAGACAACAAGCAACATTAACAAGTGGCATTTTAGTAACTACTCCAGAAGTCGACGCCACACTTTCAAGCAATATGACCAGTGACCATGGTTTCTAAATCATCCAGAGAGAGAGACATATGATCTTTATTTTATAAGCAGAAATTTCAAATGGTTTTCTTCCTTGAGCTTACCATGCTTTAGTAAGGAAAAAGTATTCAGGTGCAAGCTTTGACTACTGTTTCAAACCTGTCGGAGCAGCCTGTTTCTTAAGCTACAACAGTGCTCACTATAGTTAAAAGACATTCAAAGAAACTGCGCTCCACTTACATCCCATTTGCTCTCATGTAACTAACTACTCATTGGTCAACCTAGTCTAGCATAAAACTGACGTTGAAAGCAAAAATGGCATTATTGGTTACTAATGGTAAGATAGGAACAAGATGCTCACAAGACACATACAATGAGTGGCTCCCTGCAAAATGCATGGTGTATTCAGATATTATTCATCTGTAATCCCTTGCCAAATGTGATCTCTCAACTGGTGATGCAACAGCCTGAACAGAAGTAACTCTACTTTGTTAAACCAGGAGGTGGCCATGGCAAGATGGAGGCAGTCACTGGAGTGACACAGTCACAAGCCAAGGATGACCTGGAGCCACCAAAAGCTGGAAGAGGTAAGGAAGGATTCCCTCATAGAGCCTGTGGGGGGAATGTTGCCCTGCCGACACCATGATTTCTGGTTTTAGACTTCTGTGACATGGGCGAGAATATATCTCTGTTGTTGTAAGCTTCGCAGTTTGTGATAATTTGTTATGAATGCCCCAGAAACCAATACAGTTAGGAAGTAACTCTTCCCTCTATCAAGTCAGAATAGCAAAGGCCAACTTGGCTTCACATTCAGTACAACAGTTGGGGTTACTAAGTGACAGAGAACTGCTGTGGGAAGCCACGGAATCTCTATCCTATAGACCTGACAGTTAAGATATTCTCAGCGTAGTCAGACCTCATTTCGTACTGCCTAAGGAAAGTATTTCACCTGTTGGCCTGGTCCACAGTTTCAGGATTAAAGGCAAAAGCAACCGTACATAAGAACTGTACTCTAGTTGATGGAGTTGATTCCTACAGGGTTCTGGGTTAACAATTCTGGCACTGCTACACATGCGTACATGCTCTGGGCCAGTCCGTAAATGCACGGCAGATGGTGGGAGCCAGTTTCTCACTGTTGAGTGAGAGGCTAGAGGGAAAAGGTTAGACTGATCCCTGTGGGAACAGATTAGAGCTGGAGACAGTAGTGAACTCATGTTTACCTTAATGCAGACACAGATGGTTACATTCAGAAGTATTTACAGACATGCGTATATACACACGTTAGTACACACACATACATTTCCCTGCTCCGTCAGCCAAGGGGACCTAGGAGCAATGACACTGCAGGAGCAGTGACACACCCAGCATCCAGTTCCTGGTTTCTAACGCCATTTCCAGGAAAGGGAACCAGGGCTCCTGGAGAAATGGCTGATTCTAAGGCTAGAGCAGGGAATATACAAGACGAACCTGGAGAGTCCTGTAGTGCCAGAAAGTAAGGAAGTGCTCAAAAATAAATAAATCAATTAATAACCACTCCCCACAATGATGGAGTTGTGTCAAAGGGTCACCAGAGCCAACTGAAAGAGCTCCTAACGGCCAAAGCAGGAACAATTTGAAGAACTAGATAAAGTAGTCTTGGATGATAAAATAAAAATAAATATCCGTAAGTCCATAAGAATATAAATGACTGAATAAATAAGTAAATGTGAGAGAATAGACAAATCTCCTGTGTGGAAGAATTTCAAATAATTTATGTAGATACTTCACCCTCAGTGAAGCATATCTCCTGCCTCCTTAAGTGTAGGCTGCTCATAGTGACTTTCTTTCAAAGTGTACAGTATGAAAAGAGGGGAAAAGAGTAACTTTACCGTGGAAAAACCTGGCAAACATTACTTCGGCTGGGTAATCGAGGTCAACAGCAGCAGCGATGAGTCATGTTGACAATATGTGCACCTGATGTGATGTGATGAAAATGGCCCTTGACCTCTGTGGTCTCCCTCCTAACAGGCCACACGCGCAGTGGCAGTGCCCGTGTGTGGTGAGGGATAAAGCAAATGACCAATTATGCTCACCTTGTGAGCCGAGATTTTTTGGAATGGGAGAAAGATGTATGGATATAAGATCTAGATGTTAAGCAAAAACTCTGTAGTCCAGAAACAGACCAGGAAGTTACCAATATGAAATATTTTATCTTGAATGATGTTTTTCCCTATCTCTGCCCACTGAAATGGATTAAAAACCACACCAATTCCATCCTAATGAGCACCCCTAAAGTCCAGATTATGGTCTCTAAATACCATTTTCCACTTTAAAACCACCAACCAGGGCTCCTCGGAGAAATGGCTGGTTCCAGGTTTGTGGCAGTAAATCTGACCATGACTTCCTCTCCTGTTGAGATAAACTTCACAGCATTTATCATGACCTAGCCCCATTTCCTCCCTATCAGTTCATCTCTTCAAATTTGAAGTCAGCAGAATAATGGCCCCCAAAGATGTTGACATCCTAATCCCTGGAACCTGTGCATATATTACACTACATGACATAAAAGGGACTTTGTAGATGGGATTAAAGTTAAGGACCTTGAGATACAGAGATTATCTTGGATTTTCCAAGTGGGACCCATCTAATCACAGGAGTCCTTCAAAGTGCAGAACCTTTATGGTTCAGATCAGAGAGGGAGATATGAAGACGGAAGCAAGGTCAGCTGGTGATGGCTTTGAAAATGGACGAAGGGGCCATGAGCCAAAGAATGCTGATGGCCACGAGAAGCTGGGAAAGGCAAGGAGACAGGTTCTGCCCTAGAACCTCCAGAAGGCTATCATAATCCCCATTTTTTTTAAATTAGAAATTTCAAAATCGCCCAGCTAGTAAGTGGCAGACCCAAGATTGGAAGCTGGAAAGTCTGACACAGGAGTTGGTGCCCTTCGACATGACACTAATATCTGTCTCCCATGCAAGACCTTGTGCATTTATTAACATGATACTCCCAGTGTTCAGCACAGAATAGCTTCATAAATAGCTGCTGAATATGAACAAATGAGACAAAGATGGGTTCCCCTACTATTCTATTTTTTTTTTTAACTTTTTTATAATAGAAAGTCAAATATGTACAAAACTCGGGTAATGATATAATGACCCCTCAACTATCCGTCTCCTAACTCAAACACTAATCAACATAGGGCCAATCTTAACTCCAACATTTAATTAGTCTGGTGTTATATTACCTGTTAGGAATAGTCCCTCTTCAAAATTCTTCTTTTTCAGAATCGCATGTTCCTAGCTCTCATCGTACATTCATTTACCTGTGTTAAAATGGATTAAAAAAAAAAAAATCCTGAAATAGGCAGGTCTTTGTAAGCAAAAGCCAAAAGAAACTGTAAAGTGGAGATTGATATTTTTCACTACATAAAATTAAAATTTTCCACAGAGCATAAATATTGTAAACAAAGTACAAAAAACTGGGGGGAAATAGTTGTAATATACATAATGAAAAGTTAATATTCTCAATGTAGAAGTAATTCCTATAAATCAATAAGACCACAACCCAATAGAAAAACAGACAAGGGATGAACATACAGTGTCCCCTGATATTCTTAGATGACGAAAAGACAAGGACTTCCAACTGGCACTATTTGTCAGTGTACTTCCTCTGATGCTCTAGAATCCAAGAGCAACGAACATTCCAGAACAGAGGATAACAATTGTCACCTGTAAGCTTGTTTCTTCAAAGATGTGTTGTCCTGGTACCCAGCACCATAGTGAGTCTGAGAGTCTGAAAAGCTTTTGGCTTCAGAGTCCTTCCACGGGACGCCAGCATAAGTACACCACCTCACACGGTGACCAGAAAGTCCACGTGGACCAAGCTTCCAGTTCTCAGTCCTGCTGGGGGTGAGATGGCAGGAAGTTGAGTATTTAAGAGATAGGGGCTTAAAAACAAATGCAAATGACCCAACACGCATGGGAAGGCCAGGAAGGAGAGTATTTCCATTCGGTGGAACAGCCTGCCAGCCCAAGGGGCCAAGGAACGCCTTGAATAGAAGAAAGTTCCCTCTGACCTAGAGGAGGGGTTCTAAGTTCTTGATCTCCTTGAGAAGTAAGTTATATTCTCTCCTATAAGTAAGCAAAGTAAGAAGAGAAAGAAAAAAGCATATTTTCAGCCATTGGGGAAAACCTACTTTAGGAATGTTGAGCTTCCTGGATGAGGGTTTCCAAGTATCTTAAAGTCATATAAATTTACATTTAAAAAACCTCAAATCACTTCTGAAGTAAATGCGCCAAAAATGGTGAGCATTAACCTATTTAAGCCTTTAGATCTAACTTCCAAGTTACAGGACATACAGGGAACAGAGGAGCAAGCTAAACCACACTATACAAAAAGCAGGCAAATAAATCCAGACTGTGAGGCATTCTACAGTCAGTCAACCAAATGACACTGATAAATTGTTGGCATTAAAGAAACACATAGGGACTGCTCCAGACCAGGGTGGCAAACTATGGCCTGCCAGTAAGTCCGGCCTGCCAGTGGAATTTGAAACAAAAACTTTGAAAATATTATTGGGACACAGCCAGGCTCATTCACATACATATCATGCATACAATGGCAGAGCTGAGCAGTTGTGACAGAGACCACAAGCCTGCAAGGCCCAAAAGAGCTAGTCTCTGGCCCTTCACAGAAAAAGTTTGCCAGCCCCCTGCCCTAGATTGAGATATTCACCTGTGCCCCTTGTTTGGATTCAGATCACACAAAACAACAGTAAAGATAAGTGCATTTTTGAGGCAATCAAGAAAATGTGCCTATAAACTGCATTATAGAAAACACTAAAGAATTACTGTCAATTTCATAGGTGATAACAGTATTATGGTTACACAAAAAAATGCCCTTTCTTTGGAGGTGCATACTGAACCATTTACAGGTAAAATGTTACGTTGTCTGGCACAAACTGCTTTAAATTGCTTCAACCACAACCAAAAAAAAAAGATGAAGCAGATATGGCCAAACAAGAATTGTGAAATCTATTTGATGCATATATGGAAATTCATTATACTATTCCCTGTGCTTTTATATTTGCTTAAAATTTTCCTAATAACAAAACAAAAAATCAGAACCTTGATCAAAAAGCAGAGTTTATCACCCAAGAGCCTCCTTTCCAGGCACCTCTGGCTCTGCCCTCCCCACACAGGGTCCAGCCTCACCATTTCTCTGAACACACTTCATTTTAAGCTTCTGATCTTTGCTCATGGTGTCTGCCACCAGGAATGCATTTTTCCACTCCTCTGCCTATAAAAATTCCTCTCTTCCCTCGAGGTCTGGCCCAAATGTCACCTTCCCCAAGTCCTCTGGTGGAGACAGTATTCACCTGTCTCTGCTCCAACAGCCTCTTACTTCATTCTTAACATTTCAGCTATTTACCATGTCTATTACCTCATATGCCATGCAAACCCAGAGACTTCCAGTAATTGGGTCTTTTCTGTAAATCCATTGGAGGGGCATATATGACACCTTAGACAGAGTAAGCTTGGCCTATGCAGCTCTGGGGATGCAACCTGAACAAGGCTGCCTTGCCTTGAGCAGTTTGCTGACAACAGAGAGGCCTTCAACTGAAGAATGAACCCGTTAGGCAAGAAGCTGGGTGCTCGTTTAATTGAGGCTGTCAATAAAATCTCCAATATCTTAAGGTTTACCCTGGGTGGAGAACTTCTAAAGAAGACTGCTATGACCTGTCCTTCAAACACTGCTGCCCTGACCCCTGGAAAAGGCCCTGGCTAGTGTTGGGTACAAAGCCTCCCAGTGGCTTTACTCTAAGAGCTGATCTGGTTGAAATTTTCAAGAGATCTTACTAGGTAAAGAGAAAAATGAACAGATAATTTTAAAAAGATAAATAATACCGGTTTCCATCCCTGTTCTGTTCTACCTACTGCACCACAAACAACCACCCTCTCCAGGACTATTATTAATAGGGCCTTGGTTAGTAAGGTCAACTAGTCCAAAATATTTCCATGTGACAATCCACCAATCAAAAATTAACTTTGCAAACTCAGCTTTTAAAATACAAATGCTCTCTATTAAGGGGGATGGTCTGCTTACTCAGGAACTTGTGGCTTCTCCTGGGAGTAGTTTCAGGAAAACAAGTCGTCTTGGGAAAATAAGGACAAACTGCCAGCGCTGGCTCTCCATGTTAGCATGTGAATACACTGAACGGGGCCAGGGAAAAGTCATCGATCAGGGGAGGGTAAGAACGCACTTGACATCTACACTCCACACAGGTCAGGGCAAATGAGTTGGAGATATCCTTCAGTTCTCAATTCATCATTTCTCCCTGGGACATTTAACAAAATGAATAACCTGCTTTTAAAAAAAAGGCTACAAGTCTAGCGCATTTTCTTATCACTTCAATATGAATAAACTAAGCTTGGAGTCAAAAAGTTGTGTTCAAAAAACAGGATTTTGAGTGAGTGAAACAGCAATGATAATACTTAGTAACCAAAGTAGTAAGAAAAAAACACACCAAAATTCAGATGTTTCACTAATGGCAACAAAGAAACCTAAGACCATAAACTCACAAATGCCCGAAGGTGTTTTTAGGTTTCTTTTGCAGTTTTCGGTCTCCTTACAGACAGGAAGCTCTAAAAGGAAAAGCGGGATTTCTGAAGTGCCCTCGTTCGACCTCGAGGTCCTTGTACACCCACCTCCCGAGCGGGCATCACTTTCCCTTTACCGGGACCCAGCAGCGTCCTCGCAGCGGCCCGTTGCTGACCTTTTCTGTCCTCCCCCGTCGGCAACAGCACCCGCTTGCCCCGCGTGGAGCCGCTGCGCCCGCGCCCCGGGGTCGCCCGTGCCCCGGGGTCACACGTCCCCCGCGTCAGAGGGTCCCTCCGCGGGCGGCCCGCGCGCCTGCGCCCCAGGCTCCTGCCTCCCGCCGCGCGCCCGC